AATTTTTGATAGCTAGAAAAATGTAATATAACAAAACAGTCATTACTTGGTAGTATATTGGTTACTTCTAATAGCAAAACTATAGTATAGAGAGTAGAAGATATAAGTAGAACAAGGTCTTGTTAGCCTGATATAGTTGCAAAAACTAAACATCTTCTTTTAGAGATAGAACAAGAAAATATTCAAATAAATGCAGTAGTTACTGACTCTGTTTCAGCATATCAAGTAGCTAGATGTTTCTTATTTAATTCTATCTATACTAAATATGATTCTTATTTTTAAGAAGAGCATTAAATTTATTTAATAAATTTATTAATTTTATAAATTAGAGTTAGATTATATTTGGAATTGCGAAACAAGATTTTTCTCCTATACTTCACATACCAAATGAACCTTTGTGTTGCTGATATATTCCATAAATCATTAACTCTTAAAACAATATCTGAGCAAGCTATAAAATTAGTTAGTTTTTTAATTAATCAAGTTTTTATTTAGGAAAGTTATGTAACCAACATGAATTTGTATATGATAGTAAATATTTTTTACTGGTAATGCCAAACAATACATAGTAGAATTCACATTATTATTGCTTCACCAGTATACTTAGAACAAAATTAGCATTAAAGGTATTGTATATGTCAGTAGTTTATTTATAACATATTTTATACCTGTTTTTTTTAATTTACTGTAGAACCTTGCACATAAAATTGAAGAATTTAATAATAGTGATTTATATAGTTTTCTTATTGATATATTGTCAAATCTTATTTTACCAATATGGTAAAAAGAAATTAAACAACTGGAGTCTCTTCATTTGCCTTATTGCATTATATTAAATAAGTTATAATGTAATAATACAAAGCTCTATGAAATTTTACATTGCTTTGGTTGGGTATCAAATATTCTGAAAAATTTACCTGATCAAAAACTTGTTCTTGTATTGTCAGAAAAATTAAAAAAGAGATGAGCTACTTGGGAACAACCTCTCATTATTATATCCTTTCTTCTTTACCCTAAATATCGTGATATTTACTTTAATTCAGATTTAATAAATTTGTCATATTTATACCTTGGGATGTGAGGATCATACTATTATAAAGTATAGTTTGCAGAATCCCCAAAACATATTTATATGAACTATTTAAATTTAGTGAAGGTCAATATCCATATGATACAGAAACATATTCACAATTTGATAATAATATTTTACAGTTTTGGAAGTATATCAAAAGTTATAATAAGGAGTTATATAAGATAGTGCAGCATATTTTTTCCATTACTGTTAACTCTGCATCTATTGAATGAATCTTTTCAATTATGGGATAGATCCATAGTCCATGAAGGAATCAGCTGAAGGTAATTTGGATATTTACTAGAAGATAAGGATTATATAAATTGTATTCAATTTTTCTAGCATAGTTCACATTTAATGAATAGGATGAGTGGTCTGATTAGTACAGTACAGATACAATTTATTATAAAGTATGTTTACAATACTTTATAATAAATTGCATCTATACTGTATTGATCAGGTCTCTGTACCTGCTAGTAATATTCATCAATTATAATAGTTTTTTTTTTTTATAGTACAATAAAGTGGTTTCAATAGCAAGTTTACATTATGAAATAAAGCAAGCCTGGAGGGCTAAAGAAATCTCAAATTCAAATATAGATTTTTACCAAAATGATACTTCTAATTCAGATAATCCAAATAAAAGTAGAATGAATGAAAGTCATAAGAGAAATGAGTGTTATGAAGAATTTGATAATTTTAGCGAAAGTGAAACTCATTATAATATTTCATCTTACAAGGATATGGATATAGATATCAAAGATGATAAAACAGATGACCAAGTTAATTCAGAAGATTTATAGAAGTCTTTGGTGAACTGATGGTTGTCATTAATTGATAATGAAGAAGAGGCAGACAATGACTCTAAATCAGATGAAGAAACTGACTTGGTTAATATGAATAATTATAAAGAATTTGAAATATCAGATTAGTTACTAGTACACTCTATGGTTAACCAAGCTGCAAAATAGCATCTTTTTGATATTTTTACAGATCAATTGAATGTTCCAAAGTTTTTAGATATTGATACGTTATAAATTTGTTTTACAAATTTATAATATTAGATTTTGTAATAATATTATATTGATTACTCATAGTTTCAATTCATATAATCAGATTGTATATTAGTTAGTGATTGTTAGCACAAGTAATAAAGTTCATAACAGATAACTATATATTTGAGAAGCTGCATTTAATATAAATTTATACATATTTAGTAAATCAGCTTTGAGGTCCTAAATAATCTTGTTCATGATGCAATTTTACACATATTATAAAAGTTTATAAAAATTAATTAGATAATATTTACTTATAAAAATTATTTAAAAAAATAATTATCTCTTAAACCATTTGGAATTCAGTACAAATTTGTACTGAATTTTACTATAAAAATATTTCTTATCTATTTTTTTTAAAAAACTAATTTATTTAAATAATTTTTTTTTTAATAATATTTGAAAATAAGGATAATATTTTTGTAAAATTTATATTTAAATTCTAAGGCAAAAAATTTAACTTGCTTATAAGCCAAAAATATATAAAATTTAAAAAAATTTTAACTAAAAAATTAATTTATAATTTTTTTAATAAACTCTTTAAATATTAATTTTAGATCTATAATTTTTTAATAGAAA